GGTTCGAAACTACCAGCCGCTCCGCGGGAGAAAGATGAGGCTTTCTACTCCCGTAAGGATTTACACCCTCGGAAACCCTGTACAGGGTCGCTATGGGTCGGAACCGACTCGACGGCACTTAACAACAACAACAACAACGCTACTACCTAACAACTTCTAGCCTTAGTTTTTGTAAAATCCCACCAAAGAATGTTTTCCTGATTGGTTTATATAAAAGAAGGTGGGGAAAGATGCTGATTGATTATTTGATACATTTGGAGTGATTTTAACAGGCTTAATTTGTGAAAACTTGGAACTCTAATGTAGATATAAAATCAGCCATCACAGAAACAGGGGGAGGGATCAGTCTACCATCAAAGATGAAGAACCAGGAATGGAGTTTGTCCTTTGGACCCTGAGATTTCCTGCCCACTAAGCCTCCTTGTCCCACAACAGTGACAGAGAGCTATGACACTGGAGGTGGGGCAGATGAGCAGCAGCAGCCCAACCAAGAGCCAGAGTAGAGTGGTAGGTTTCCCAGCCCATGGAGTAAGTAGAGTGACTTGGGGCAGGAGGCTTGCTTGCTAAGTGGAGTGCCTTAAGGCACTCAGTTGGGGGAACTAGGTTTGCTGACCCCGGAAGCTAGAGATGAGTGCCTTCAAGCAGAGATGATGGTGGAGTAGTGTGGCCTGTGGGCATTTATCAACAGCCCTAGAAGAGCTTTGTAACACTACCTGGGCAGAAAGAGGCTTGGCCTGTGCGCACAGCAGAGGAAAGGCTGTCCTGACTAGGAGAACTGTGCCCTGATTCTGCTTTGTAATCTGCTAACTTCACTAAAAAAGCCCATTACTGTGTCCGAGTTCTGTGTGGCCAGTACAGCGAATTACAGAACCCAGCTGAGTAAAGAAGGCTATGGGAGGAATGGTTTGCAACTCATTTTTACAATTTATAATTTGCCTCTTTCTCACCAGAATGTAAGCTCCAAAAGAAGCAGACTCTACGGATACTTCTTTACTGCTGTGTTCCTAAAGTCCCGATAGACACAGTGTTGATGTTAAGTGCCATTGAGTCATTTCTGACTCACAGCGACCCTGTATAGCCTTTCTGAGGCTGCACATGTTTATGGGAGCAAACAGACGCAACTTCCTCCTGCCGAGTGGCTGGTGGGCCGACCTTCTGGTTAGCAGTGCAGTGCTTGTCTTACATCATCACATGTAAGAGCTCCAGCGCTCTTAAAGACACAGAAGCTTTGCCAATATTTGTTGAAGAAATAAGTTATTTCTGGTGCTTTAAAATGAAAAATAAATGAGAACAAAAAAGTTACTACTCTGCTTTCCTTAGTAGTTCAAACACATCAGAATATTTTCAAAGTTAGCTCCATCTTGCTTTCCTAATTCACTCCTTTTTATCTTCATACGAGAATTAGTAATTAAAAATATTATGTTATGGAGTAAAATCAGTAATAATGAAATAATTTATTTTTAAATGTAAAAATGTTTTTATTCACAGTCCTTGAGAAGTTACCATTCCTTCAAAAAATTCCTTATGAACAAGATGCCAAGAAAAATTACAATAGCAGCATATGCCAAACCAAAAATAAACATCTGATGTATACAAACTTTAAAAAGCATAACACAGGTGATGTGAATCTTGAATACCTTAAAATATTTCCAATGACACAGCTACTACAACTTAAATGAGGTTAAGATAGATATAATCGCATTACCTAATGTATTATATTTACATATTGAGGCCACGTGATTTTTAAGTACAGCAAAAACTTTCAAGTGACTATTTATATTTGGACCTGCCTATGTTGTTGAGAACATGCACTGCCATTGTTTCAAGGAAAACAAAAACATGAAAATATATTAAGGAAAAATAAAGCCAAAATGAAAACAAAAGCAGCTTGCTTATAAAAATCATACTCAATCCTCAGCAAAATCCAGAAAAGCAATTTTGTTAGGGAGTGCTTTATATCTTGACCTTTTACCTTGATACATACACTTTAGGGAAATGAAGAACTAATTGTATATCACAAAATGCAATTATATGTATTGTTTTACTTAGTTCCAACCCATTAAAGCACCTTGTATTACAATACAAAGGGAAGCTTAATTAAATCAATTAATCCTTTTATATCAGAAATGATTTTATTTACTTTGAAATACCCGTATTGCCACTCTTTAGATTTTCCTTTCCTAATAAATCATGCACAGAGAATATGTTCTGTGTAAAATCTTTCTAAGTTCATTCATTGGATATGTGGAATTAAAAAACATAGAAATTTCATATACCAATTAAAGTCAATATTCATTTATACTGGCATGTAAAATGAAGTAAAAAAACCTAATATACACTAATATGTATATTGTCTTAAATATTACTTTTGATTATTAACTATTTTAAATACCCAAACCATGAAAATCTATTTTGATCATATTACCCTTCGTTCATATTGAATCAACATTATTATACTATGATCGGTAATACATGTACACAAAAACTGATACTCCAGCAATTCTTCAGGGTGGTCTATTTAAATTAATCATGTTGACTCTAAAATTCAGAGTCATTCAATTCATCCTCACAATCTGAATCTGGCAATTCCTTCTCAGCCTCCCTTCACATCTGCTGAGAAATTTAAGAAAACAAAACAAAACAAACTGGGTATTTTCAAATTTAGATACTAAAATAGATTTGAGACATTCAAAGTAAAATCCATAAAACTTTTAAAAAGTGGCAATCTACAATAGTAGACAGGAATGTGATCAAACAAACAGCTGATGAAATCAATTTAATCCATTGCATGGTGCTGTCTTGGAAATCAGAAGGCAGATGATGAAATTGCACTTAATTCTGAAGCAATTCAGATATATCATTCCGACTTTTTTCTAATAAGCATTTACAACATGGTTTCTCACCTCCCCCTTACAAAAAGGTTCAGCACAACCATTTATACATTCGAGTTGGGTTTTAACATTTGGTCATAACAGATATACAGAGTCTCATCATTTTACCCTATCGATTTTGCTGATCTGCATCTGACTGCTTTATGCCAGAATCAGACAGTTCTAGTACAGGATTTACAAATCCAGAATACTCAGAATTTCCGTTATCATCCATTTCGGCACTAACAAAATCATTTTCCCACTCCAGCCCGTTGGAATCATCAGAGGCTGACGTAGGATTACTTCCAGTTTTCTTGCTGCTGTATTTAAGTGCTGCTCGGAGAATATCTTCCTCGGTTTTGGAACGTTCTCTCATTGGAAGCATTCTATTCATTCCTAGAATTTGAACAAAGTGTTTTTAGAAGTCTCACTGAAGCCAAAAAGCTGTATTTAAAAACTTCCCAGTTAACAGTAGAGTTTTTATTCAACTGTCAAACTTGATTTCTGTATTTATATAATGAGGGAGTCGTAGGGAGGATTTCTTAAGGAAACCTGTTGAGGTTGCAGTCCTGGTATGGTGCTGTAGGATAAGTACTGAACAGCTAACAGGAAGATCAGGATTCTAATCCCACCAGCTGCTCCTCGGAAACCTTATACAGACAGGCTGTAAGGCAGAACCAACCTGATGGCACTTAACAACAACAATGCTATGCTGGAGTCCAGGTGTGGCTCTGTATGGTAAGCACTGGATTGCTAACTGCAATGTTGGTGGTTCAAACTCACCAATTGCTCCCCACAAACTCTATACTGGGTCACTATGAGTTGGAACTGACTTGATGGTACTTAAAGCACTTAAGAACAGCAATCTTGTATGACATTTTATGTAAAAATAAATATTAGTACCCACCAAGGGGCAGTTTTGATGTAGCACTGATCATACAAGATAGAATTTCTGAGGCGCTATAAATAGAACAGAATAGATGGCAGGCACAATTGACTTTTTGTTTTAGATGGGAAAATACGTGTATCTGCCAAGGTCTTTCCCTGCCCAGACGATAATTCCATTTCCCAGGAAACAGCAGCAGTAAGATACCGATAATGATAACATACACTTGTCTAGTAATTAATAGATTCCAGTTACTGTTGCAAGCACTTCATGTATAGTAACTGATGTAATCTTCAACAACTCTACGCCATACAATACTGTCATTATCTCCATTCTATAGTTAAAGAAATGGGCAGAAAGAGGAAGGTGATCTGCTCAATGTCATATTCTGTTTGGCTCCAAAGTCAGTGTTTTAATAGTACTCCAATTCCTACTACAGCGGAAGCGTTTCAACAGGAAATTGTTGTAGATCTAATTCTGCACAGAAAGGATTTAGCTGGTAAAATAAAAGTATCAGGAAAAAGCTGGTAGAAAAACAGAAGTCATTTTATTGTTGAGAAAATTGACAAAGGATCCATTCTCAAGATGGACAGAAGTCCTAAATGTAAAACCCCAAATTATAAAGGCCATCAAAGAAACAACAGGGACCAACTTAGGGTCCCTAATTTATGGCACAAGCTACCAAACATAACTAATTATGTACAAACAGTAGAAGATACTCCAGATGACTGGATCCTTCTAAAAATTAGACACTTATATGCCTCAAAGTACTTCAGCTAGAGTAAAAAGAGAACATTACAGACAGAAAAAAAAAACTTTTTTGCCAACATATCCAACCTAAGACTATTCTCTAAACTTTATAGAAAAACTTAACACTTCAACAATAAGATAAGTAATCTAAAAGTGGGCAGAGGACATCAAAAGACACTTCACCAAAGAAGGCATTCAGGCAGCCAACAGACACAAGAAGATATGTGTGTGGTGGTTAGCCAACGAGATGCAAATCAAAAACAATGAGATACTATCTCACCTCAATATTAGTACAGTTAAAACAGCAACAACAACATCAAATGCTGGTGAGAGTGTGGAGAGATTGAAACTTTCATACAACACTAGTGAGATTGTAAAATAGTATAACTGCTGTGGAAAATGGTGTGGGACTCTTCCTTAATAAGGCAGAAACAGAAATTCCAAATGCTCCAACCATCTCACTGCTAGGTATACATCCTAGAGAAGTAAGTCAAGGCAGGAACAGATATATGCACTCCCAAGTTCATTACAGAATGATTCACAATAGCTAAAACCCGGAAAAAACCTAAATGTCAACAATGGATGAGTGGATAAACAAATTATAGAACACAATGGATACTGTGCAATGCTAAAAAAATGACAACGCATCTGCAAAAATAGTTAACATGGATAAACCTGGAGCATATCATGCTGAGTCAATCAAAAATAAAGTGAATCACAAAAAGACAAATATTGTATGAAACCACTATTATAAAGGACTGCTGGTGTGGCGCTGTAGGATCAGCACTGGACTGTGAACCACAGGGTCGGCCGTTCAAACCCACCAGCTGCTCTGTGGAAATCCTATACAGGATTGCTATGAGTTGGAACTGACTCTACGGCACTTAACAAAACAGCTATTACAAAAACTCAACAAATGGTTTATACACAGAAAGGCACATTATTTGATGGTTACCTGGGATGAGAAGGAAAAGTCACAAACTAGAGTGGAGACATGTATTAACTTGAATGAAGGGAAAGGCACTATCCAACAAGAGGAAGGTCAGCACAGTATGACCAAGGCACTGAGAGACGAACAAGAAGTAAAGGCAACAACATTAAATATTATAACATATATAATCCTGTAATAGCAGTAATAACAAACAATAATCTATGCATGGATACACAGGTAGATATGCAAGCTTAAGATGGGTGGGAAGATGAATGGGAACATATCCATGAGTATATATAGGTTTCTGAGTCCAAGTGTGGCACTATAGATGAGCACTGGGCTGCTAATTCCAAGACTGGGAGTTCAGAACCCATCAGCCACTTCTCTGAAACTCTATACAGGGTCACTATTAGTCAAAACCAACTAGAAGGCACTTAACAACATATATAGGTTTGACAGAAGATACTTCTACATATGTATTTGAATGTATTGAAATATATATATATTGCATGGCATATAGGGGAGCAAAGTTATAAAAAACTCAGCCATAATCAAATACTTGAAGAGAATGAGTCACCGGGGTTGGGGGGTTGGCAGGGCAAATAGTCTTAGGAAACATCTAGGTCAATTAGTGAAACAGTCCACAAAAAAAAAATGTTTTATGTCCTACTTTGGAGAGTCGTGACTTAAAAACCAGCAAATGGCCATCTGAAATGGAACTATTAGTCCCTGCCCATCTGGAGCAAACCACAGCCTCCACTCGCTTGAGACCAGAAAAACTAGAAAGTGCCCAGTTACCACTACCAACCTTTCTAATCAGGATCACAGTAAAACACCCTGAACTAGGGGAGAGAAAAATGTAGAACAAAATTCCAAATCATAAAGAAATTAAAAATAAAACATACATATCTGATAGAGAGTGGTGGAGCCCTTGAAACTATGACCCTTAGTCAACCTTCAAACCTGGAACTGAACCCACACATGAAGATCACCTATCTGTTGAATAATAAATTGGCCTATGCAGGGGTTCTTCAAAAAGTTCATAAAAAAATAGAATTAAAAGTTAATGGACTTTCCCCACAAACTTTTTCAAATCTATTTTGTATAATGAACAGTAACACTGTTGAGTAATGTACTGCTTGGCACAATTAACCAGATGAGATGAAAAGGGCAGCATTAGCCCAAAAACAAAGCTCAGAAGACATGAAGGGGCAGGAAAGAAAGACGAATAAAATTGGGAACCCAGAAAGGAAGTGGGAAGAATATTGTTACTACTGTCCCAAAACAAAATGTGTATAAATTGTTGAATGGAAAACTAACTTGCTCTGGAAACATTCTCTCAAACCACAGTAATGTAAAAATAAGGGGGAAAAAAAATGAAAAGTAGGTCTTAATGAAATAGCTTTTTTTAAAAAAATCAACATTTTAGATAGAATTTTGAATGTTAGCTATATGCTACATCTTGTCCTGGGTATTTTATTTAAATTTTACAACATGTAAGTGCTGTAGGATAAAGCATTGGACCAAAAGGTCAGTTTGAACTACAAAATCAGTGGTTCAAACTCACCAGCCACTTCTTGGAAACCTTAATACTGAGTCACTATGAGTTGGAACCAACTTGATGGCATTTAACAACATCATGCAGCAGACATTTTCAGGTCTTGATTATAAAGCAGTAAGTAATCATCCTTTAAAATCCAAACAGTGTACCATTTGACTCAGGGTGACCTCATTTGTATCAGAGTAGAACTTTGCTCCATAGGGTTTTCAATGTCTTATTTTCAGAAGGAAATCACCAGGACTTTCTTCTGATGTGCCTCTGGGTAGATTCAACCACCTACCTTTTGGTTAGCAGCAAACACATTAACGATTTACATCTCCAGGGGACTCCAAGCATCTTTTTAAAGTATGCATGTTTTTCACTTTTAGAAATGAAGAAATTGAGGCTTAGGGAGATTTATGTATTGTCCACCATTCATCTATTAGTTTGCCATACTATGGTGGCTTGTGTGTTGCTGTGATGCTGGAAGCTATGCAACTGGTATTTTAAATGCCTGCAGGGTCACCCATGGTGGGCAGGTTTAAGCAGAGTTCCCAAACTAAGGCAGATTACAAGGTAGGAGAGGTGTACTATTTCTGAATGTTTGTTGTTGTTGTTGTTGTTAAGTGCCTTCGAGTCGGAGCCGACCCATAGCGACCCTGTACAGGGTTTCCGAGGGTGTAAATCCTTACGGGAGTAGAAAGCCTCATCTTTCTCCCGCGGAGCGGCTGGTAGTTTCGAACCACTGACCTTAAGGTTCGCAGCCCGATTCGTAACCACTACGCTACTTAAAACCTTAGGAGTAACAGTGGACCATTGTAAGATACAGTGCCAGAAAATGAAAACATTATGGATAGCAGCAGAATAGTGTCAGATATGTTGTTGTTGTTGTTAAGTGCCGTCGAGTCGGTTTCGACCCATAGCGACCCTGTACAGGGTTTCCGAGGGTGTAAATCTTTACGGGAGTAGAAAGCCTGATCTTTCTCCCGCGGAGCAGCTGGTAGTTTCGAACCGCTGACCTTAAGGTTCGCAGCCCGATTCGTAACCACTATGCTACCAGAGCTCCTTAGTGTCAGATATAGTGCTAGAATTAGTCTCTTAGGTTGGAAGGTGCTCAAAGTATGAATGGGTAAGAACTGCCTACTAAAAGTAGAGCTGACCTTAATGATGTGAACAGAGTAAAGTTTCTGGGATCTTCATTTGCTGATGGGACACAACTAAAAATAAAGGAGAAACAGCTGCAAACATCCATTAATAATTGGAACATGGAATGTATGAAGTATGAATGT